CATCCCCCCGCCCCCCCCGTCCCGTGTTAGTGGGGCCCTGTTTGCTAAAAAACAAAACCCGGCCCTAACCCACCAGCCACTTCCGCTCCCTTCCGGAAGTCACAATTCACTCCCCCCTGCCTCCGAACTCCCGTCTTCGCCAATCTGGCGCGGTTAATCCCGTCGCTGGACTACCATTCCCAGAATACATAGTCAGCGCGCTGGGGTTTGTGGGAAATGTAGGCGCACATGCATCGAGTGGCTCTCAGGATGGGTGAAAGTGAACAACCTGATTTATCCATAACGTGTCTGATTTGGCTGTGTGAGAATGGCCCTTCCAGGACTTGTGTCGAGCGAAACTGAATTGTTTCTACCGTGGTGGGTTGAGCAAGCCAGAGAAGCTTGATTCATAAATAACGCAAAGCCATAAACCCTGGTTTACAATTTGTAAGGACCGGATTCGCATATCACACTTATGCAAAACTGAACAAATTGCATTTTGCCTTACTGCAGTCTATGAGCCCATACATTTGGCCACCCCCTATCTACCATGAGTAAACTAAAAACACAGAAGATCCCTCTAATTGCATTTAATTATACTGTAATTTGCATGGTTCATGTTTGTCTAATTTAGAGAATTTTAAATTAAAAGGCACAGCAAATATTTAATTTTTTTAAAGGTGGAAGTGCAACTAGAAGACACTGCTAATTTTATCCACTAAAAGCCTACGTTCCAGATCCGTTTTGATACCCATGTATCCCCTTTGTTTTTAAATAGAAGTTAATTAAAGATACATGGATGCCAAAGCATAAATCCAAACTTATAACATTTATAGTTTTTTTATTGGATTTCCCTCATGTAGGAGCTCAAGGCATGGAACTCCCTCCTCCTACTTTTTCCCACTACAACAACACTGTAAGGTAGGTTGGACTAAGAAAGACTAATCCAAAATCTGCCAGGGAGCTTCTGTGCTTAAACTTAGATCTCCCCCATGCCAGTCCTACACCTTCACCACGTTGACTTACTTCAAACACATTTGTCCCAATTGGAAGGACAAATCTTTTGGGAAGACAAGAATAATAAGAATATTTAACTTTTGCACAGCATGTTCAGGAGCTTTAGGCACTCCCTTGCGCCAAAAAGGGAGATTAAGAGTATTTTTTATAATAACTGTATTAATTTTTTAAAAAAAGGAACAGTAAAAACTAACAAAAACTAATATTAAGAGAAAGAATTAAAAAAAAGAAAAGAAACAACAAAGGAAAAAAAGAATTGACTTCCAACCTTCCTTGCAACAGATATGTAACAATATACATCAAATTCTTACTCTAAATTTAAAATATCTTCCATTATTTCTAGTAACCCATATTATTTTTAATCTTAAAATCCACAGAACATAATTTCATTTTTTTCTGTTTCCTGCAAAAAGTCCAACAGAAGTTTCCAGTTAGCATTAAAATTACACAATGTCTTATCTCAAATCAAAGCTGTCAATTTCATCATCTCAGTCAGCTCCATCATCTTCACCATCCACTCCTCCACTGTAGATAATGTCTTACCTTTCCACCTCTGTGCATATAAAGGCCTTGCTGCTATTATCATATATAAAAACAAGTTCCATGAGTTTTTTCCAACTGTTTATCCATCGAACCCAAAGGAAAGTCTCTGCTTTTATTGAATATTAATCTTTAAAATCTTCTGTATGCAAATATGTATCTCATTCCAAAATTCCAAAACAAACTGATGGATCATTGAACAAATCAACCCAGAATTCTCACGCAAGGCACAAATGATCTGACTCAGATTATCCTACTTTGGACATGTATGAAGACCTAGATCTCTGGAGAAGTCTATAATGTTGGGAAAGATGGAAGGAAGGAGAAGAGGACAATCAACATCAAGGTGGATGGACTCAGTTACAGTGGTGATGGGGGCACTGTTGCAAGACCTGAAGGACCAGGTTGGGGATAGATCATCATGGCAAAGACCTATTTATGTGGTCGCTAAGAGTCAACAACAACTTGATGGCATGTAATCTATCAATCAATCACACATCAGCAAGATATTGTTGAAAATCCTTCAGAAAACAATAGAGCCATATATGGAGAAAGAAGTGGTAACTGAACAGAAAGGCTTCTGAAGGAACTGGGTCATATAGCTCATATTAGGTGGACGACGGAAACAGCAAGAGAATATCAAAAATACCTTGTTTTTATTTTAATTTAAATTGGTTGTTTTAATGGTTTTTATATACTCTTGATTATTACTATGTATGCCGCCCAGAGTCACTACATGAGATGGGCGGCTATACAAATGTGATTAAATAAATAGAAAATAAATACATAAATAAATCTCTCTACTCCAAAACTTTTGATTGCATTGATCATTCAAGATTTTAAAAGCCTCTCAAAGCAATGGGTAGACCCACGCATCTGGTTCTTCGGTTAAAAAAATCTCTATAATAGCTGCTGTGAAAACAGAATTTAGTCACCCCAAATAGATTACTATTGGAAAAAAGTCTGACAGATCTGCATTCTCTCACCATATCCATTCCGTCTATACACTGAATACATTTCATGCGCCGCCGGGTCTCGAAGAACTGAAGGTCGGTGTCAAAATCGGTGGGAGCAAACATCAATAACCTGAGGTACATGGATGACCCTACAGTAACTGAAGAAGACTGAAGAACGATCTTTCTGAAAGGTGAATGGAAGAGTGAGAAGGCTGGGCTTTCTCTGAAGATCAAGACAATAAAGATCATGTCTAGCAGAAAACTAGAGGAATTTAAGATTCGTGCTACCACCTTCTCTATGCAGCAGTGTTCTTGTTGGTTGGCTTTATTCCACTGGCCCTGCGTACCATCTCTGGAGAGGACACAATCCTCTAGGTCAGGGTTCCTCAACCTCAGCAACTTTAAGATGGGTGGACTTCAACTCCCAGAATTCCCCAGCCAGCATGGCT